CGAACAGTGAGTTGTGTGGGCGCTCAGTCGCCATAGCCAGTTTGAAGGGAACTCCTACCTGGTTACGATATCTTTGAGTACTGTGTGGGCGCGTGTCGCCAGTTTGCTGTTTCGCTGTTTGCATGCGTGACAAGTGTGAAGAAGTCGAGTCTGATTGCACAGCAACCTGTCCAACACGGAGTAAACATATGCAAACCGAGTCTCGCAGGAAAAAACAAGTCCCATGTTGGGGCTGCGCTTTCTGAAAACATAAAGGGCAGCCTATTGGGTTTTGAAAAACTCCACCAGCACACAAGCGTGCGTGATCGTGTCCACAAACGTGTCGCAACTCATCCCCATGTCTGACAACAATTTGTCGCAGACATGGACGGAGCATGGGAGCCACGTAATCGTCCTCGATGCAAGAGGTATGGTCATCAAGGCAATCACCCTTCATGCCCCCACGCACGCTGAAGCGGAGTCGGCGCTGAGGCGCACCGAACCTGAACTTGTGCAAGATGGTCACCGATCTTCGAAGGACGTGCTCTACATTGTCCGGCTCGCCTTCTCGATTGATCGTTGTGTACATGACGACCCCTTGTGAGCCTGATTCTCCCGTCTCCTGATTTTCTCCCATCGAAGAGGATGGTGGCACCGGTCACCCAGAATGGCTGCCTCACTTCCTTCAATTCCTCTGCCAACTTGGCACGGTGGATCTCCTCTGCCTGCATGCTTGCAATCTCGTAGTGAGTGGAAAGCACAGCGCGCGATGAACCGCCAGGCTGCCGAAGAAACACCTAGACATATGCCTTCCATGCCACGTTGCAAAAGGCATTGAAGGGGACCCCGCTAGAAAAAAACCAGCAAAGGAAGACCTTCTTGTGGTGAGCAACCCACTCGCCAACGTAGAGTTCAAAAAACCGTGTGCTGGCGCAGCCTCTTTCCAGGTTGGGTGTCAATGGATCAACTCCTTCCTTCCTCTTTGAAGGACCCTCCCCCCTCAAACACTCCGTTTTAGATACCTGTGTCTTGCCTGCTCGATGGCAGTCCACGATCCTTTGCCCAGTGACAAGTCTTAGATCAAACCCAGGCATGTCCTCGTGTCTCAAAAATCCCTCCTGGCCCGACCAACGGGCCTCGCGATCGATGTGGATCACGTTCTCTTCCCTATCACCCGCTCCACACCCCAACGGGTGGTCGGCCCTACCCTGCCCACCATCTCTCCCGGACACCCCTTACACCGGAGGCTGCGCCGCCTCTTCTCATCACAGAACCGCCCGAAGTTCCGAACACCGCTGAACACCGTCGTACACCACGACGAGCCCACTAAACGATCGCCGTTCAATCACGTTCAACACCGTTTCATCGCATTGAACCTTGTTGAATCTCGTTCAACGCTATTGAATTTAAAAATTCAACCACGTTGAGTGGCGACCCTCGTAGCCACTTGCCGCCGTCCTTTCTCCCGCTAGATTGCCTCTCCCGCTCCGATGCCCCTCCTGCTCCACTACCTTTACCGCTTCCGCTCCCGCTCCCGATGCTGCTTTCTCTCTTTCTCTCTTTCTCTCTCTCTCTCTTTCTCTTTCTTTTTTTTTCTCTCTCTCTCTCTCTCTCTCTCTCTCTCTCTCTCTCTCTCGTCGTCTCTCTCTCTCTCTCTCTCTCTCTCACTCTCTCTCTCTCTCGCTCGCTCTCCCTCTTTCTTTCTCTCTCTCTCTCTCTCT